CTGACAGAGGCCTCCTGGCATCTGCCTCTCGTTATTTCTGGACCACAGCTGAGTCATGGGGGCTGGGGCGAGTGACAGGACTGGGGGGGGTAGAAGCGAAGAAGGCTGAGGCGTAGGAAGAGGGGTCCTCTTCAGGACCGGGGGTCCTCCTGAAGTACTGGCCTGTGCCTGGGGTGCTGGGTTAGCAAGAGGGGGGACAGAGAGGGACCCCTGGGGTGAAGGAAGCAGGGAGGAGAGCGGGGAGAAGAGAGCACTGGATTTTCCTGCTTCCAGAGCGAGTGCGCGGCCCTCCCCCAGTCCCTCCTGCCCCTCCCCCAGTCCCTCCTGCCCCTCCCCCAGTCCCTCCTGCCCCTCCCCCAGTCCCTCCTGCCCCTCCCCAGGGGCTGAGCCGAGCTGCCCCTCCCGGGCTCAGCCCCGGCCTCCCAGAGGCCCCTCGGCCTCCTTGGTGAGCTAGGACAGGAGCGGGCACCCAGTCCCTGGCCATCACTCGCCGCCTGTATGAGAAACTTTCTCCTTTCCCACCTCCCTAAGTCTCTCTTCGGTCCTGGTGCAGGCCGTCCTGGGATTTAGCCCGCCCCTGTGGGGTGGGAATGGAGCTGTCCTCGGGTTTCCTAGGCTTGAGGGGCTCCCTCTGATCCCCCTTCTGTGGGCAGCCCCGAGGGCACATTCCAGCAGAAATTAAATCACATTCCTCCATCCCTGCCAGGGCAGGATGGCGTTGCTGACAGCAGCTGTGACACCGCAGGATCAAGTGGCAGCAGCTGGCTCCCCGAGGAGAGGCCGGGGCGGGGCTGGGGGGAGCAGGGCTTTTCCTGGGAGGTGAGGGATGGCCTCTGATTAGCCCACTGGGCACCGGGGCTGTGCAGAGCCTCAGGAAGGGGCCAGCCCGAGCGCTACCACTGACGGGGAAACCAGACCCTGTGGGCCAGCTAGGCGTCTACTGCAGCCGTCTGAGGAGACCGTGCGCAAGGCCCCTGGCCGGCTCTGGGCTGAGCCTGCGGGGTGGGGGAGGGGGCCCTTTAAGAGCCTCACGCTGAGCCGCGGTCCTGGCAGGAGGCCAGAGCCGGAGCTTTGATTTCCTCTGGGGCTCTGGCAGCAGCGGGAGCGACAGGGACAGCAGCAGGCGGCTGAATGGAGTGCTCAGCCCCTGACCTCACCCTGCTGGCGGCGCCTGGGCCTGCACAGCCTTATAAGGAAATGCCCCAACAAACCAAGGAAGCTACCTCCCCGCTCCCGCCCCGGCCCTATTCTGAGGCTATATTTACCCGGAGGAGCCCCAGAATAGCCTCCGACTTGTCCTCCGGGGTGGGGGTGGGGGTAGGGGTGCTATCTTCCTTCTCTCGCCTCCCTCCCTGCCCTGGGGACCCCACCCTCAGAAGTGTGTCCTTTCTACTGGCCATTCATTCATTTCATTATGTAGAGCTGGGCTCCCAGCCCTGATCGGGGCTCTGGGCATGGGGCGGGACAAAGTGCTTGCTTTCCCGAAGCTCTCTGCCCTGACAGAGGCCTCCCAGTCCTGCCCTCCACCCTCCAGCACTTTGGGACCCCTTCTCCAGCTCTTTGGAAGATGTCTCTTTGTTGGGAGGTCCTTGGAGGTGCTGTCTTGGCACCTCCTTATCCCCTGTGCTCTTCTGTGGGGGATCTCTGGCCAACTCTTTTCCCCCTAGTATTAGAGACTGAACCCAGAGCCTTTGTACTGAGCTACATGTTCTGACTTTTATTGATTTTGAGACAGGGTTGCTAAATTGTCCACCTGGGCTGGAATCTGTGCTCCTCCTGCCTCAGCCTCCCAGAATGCTGAGATCACAGGTGTGCGCCACCACTCCCAGCAGACCCCAACTCTTGTCTCCAGCCTGACCCTCTCTCCTGAGCTCCAAATCCATATATATATATCCTCAGGGAAGTCACATTTCCCGCTGGATTCTTCATCTCAGAAAGGGACAGCAGCATCTCCTGGCCAAGGTTGGCAGCCTGGGACTCTGCTGCCCTTTGCCCCTCAACAGCAGCTCCCCATGTCCTGAGACCCTGCTTCCCCTCCCTCCATCCCCCTGCCCCACTGCCCTGGACCTGGGCCTCTGGGCGCCTCCCAAGGCCTCGTGCCTGCTCCGGTCTCTACTTATGTAGCAGCCGCAGCCTTCCAGCCACCCAACCTTCTTCCTGTCCCTCAGATGCCTCGTGCTGTCCCCTTTCCCCACTGGCCACTGCTGCTTACCCTTAAGGTCCCCAGGGCAGCAGTCCCCTGCCTGCCCCTCCCAAACTCCATAGCCCAGGTTGGGGAGGTCCCTGCTCCACCTCCTGTAACCCAGGGCACTTCTTTCTTTTTTCCCTTTTTTTAAAAAAAAAACAAAATCAGCATATGTTTGTGATACAGAATAAACGCATTCATTGTGGGGAACTGGTACAAACACATACCCATCTTGATCCCCTTTACTTCCCTCCCTCTACCCCATCATTTCTTTTGTTTATTTGTTTTTTTCTGGTACTGGGAATTGAACTCATGGCCTCGCGCTTGCCAGGCAAGCGCTATGCCTCTGAGCTAAATCCCCAGCCCATCATTTCCATCTCTACAGTCAGTCTGCTTCCTTGTTTTCAAATATGATTTCCACTTGGAAGTCTGGTCAATCAGTAGGTAACAGCTCCTGCACAAGGAAACTTATTATTTGTTCCTGGATTCCCAAGGCCTGCTTAGTACATGACACATAGTAGATGCTCAGTAAATAGCTGTTGGAGGGCCGGGCATGGTGGCACACACCTGTAATCCCAGCACTTGGGAGGCTGAGGCAAGAAGATCACCATAAGTCTGAAGTCAGCCTGGGCTACAATAGTGAGACCTTGTTTTAAAAAAAGTTGTTGGGAAATGACAGTCACTCCCTTATCCCTGTCCCTGTCCAACCTTCATTTCTCCTGCTGCATGGAAGGTTCATCACTTCCAAGGACCCCACATCTACTGTACACTCACTTTCAGGACATCCTCACTCCTGAGCCTGGGGCTGTGGCACAGGTCTGTAATTCTAGCACTCTGGGAGGTTGAGGCAGAAGCATCACACGTTTGAGCTCAGCCTGGACAACTGAGCAACTTAGTGAGACCCTGTCTCAAAATTTTAAAAAATAAGAATAAAAAGGGCTCGAGATGTACCTCAACACAAAGGCTCTGGGTTCAACCCCCAGGGCCACAAGAGAGTTTTTTAAAAAGTCCTCCCTCCCATCTAATTTACATCCCTCCCTATTTGGGATCACTGGCAGCAATGGCCAGTTTGGGTAGCGCTGTAGCGGGCGTGGGCTCTTGTGGCGGCTGGAAGGTCAGCCAGCACAGAGAATGACCACTTGACTCGGCCTCTGTCATTGGCCCTTGCCCAAGCCGGGTGCCCAAGGCCTGGGTGCTTCCACCCCATTAAAGCGGCCGGGAATGGGACTTACTGGCCTGGATGCCTGGAAGCCAGGCGGGATCAGAAAGGGCCTTGTTAGCAGTGAGTACAGGAAGAAGTGAGCGGAGGCTTGGGTTGCCAGATGGGTGGAGTGGGACAGACAGACTCCGGACCCCAAGGGTAGGGCGGGTGTGAGACGGGGCCCAGGTGCCCTGGAAACAGGCATGGAGCCAGAGGGACCCAAGTTCATCCTTAGTTTAACCCACCTCGGCCCACAAAGAGAAAGCTTGCTCCCAGCTGTTGGGGCCAGGGGACATAAAATAATTTTCTCCTGTTAGAGACCAAGCTACGTGACTGTGCTCCTGGAGTCCTGATGTGGTCCCGTGGTCTGAGCAAGGCACAGGAGTGTTTGCACACAGCTGCATGCTCTCTGGCCTTGCTGGGAAGGCTCATAGTCACAGCCTCCTGCAACAAGATAATACCTTTGCAAAATGCAGGCATCCAGGGGAAGGACTTTAACTTCTCCTGCTTCTCGATGACTAATAAAAACGGGCAACACCGAGATTAGAGTCAGTCCACTAGAGACCAACTCCTCCCTGTCCCCCCTTATACCAAAGAGATATTGTCTTTTGTCCATCCCTATTCCACACCTTTCCCCCCTCAAGTACTGGGGGGGTCTGATCAGGGTCCCCCTCCCCCTGCACCAGCCTCTCCCACCCACTGGATGTTTAGGTGTCCTCAGCTCCTGTTCCCTGCAGAGCTGCAGAGGAGTGGTTTCTATTTGTGTATCCTCAATTCAAGGCCTTCAGGCCCCATCTCACAGGATCCCCTAGTCCCTTGCCCTTCAAGGGGACCCCAGACCTCCTGGGAAGTGGGGTCAAGAGAGAAGTGGAAGCGTGGGCGGGGGCTGGGTCTGTCAGCCTCTTACACAAGGATCCCTTCACTCCAAGCTCTCACCCGACAACTTCCTTGTCCCTTTCTTCCCCGCCTGGTTCAGCCATGAAGAAAGTCCTGCAGCAGCTCTGAGGAAGATTCTAGACACAGCGATGGCGAGCCTTTTAGAGAAAAGTACCCAAACTGCAACCCCAAACCCACTTATTTACTGCAGATGCCAACATTGCGATTAAACCTGAATACAGATACATACACTAACAACTTTAAAAGACAAATAACAGGCTTGCCATAGATTCGCCACCACTGTCTAGAGGGGCCAGAGGTTCCCCTTGGATTCTCCTGCTGTCACTGCCCTAGGAGGCCCTCCAACTCACCTGGACCACCTTTCCACCCAGCGGACCCCTCTCTGACCTGGACCCTGTGCTGACCTGGCCAGTCATCACAAGCCAGACAGCTGTTTGGGTTTGGGGACAAGGGAGCTTATTATGCTGGCGACACTGGGGCGGTCCATGTGAGGGTGGGGGCGGCCCCAAACATATCCCCTGTAATCAGTGCTGTGGGCAGATGACGATGGGCCTAGATTCCAGCCCTTCCGCAGGCACCAAGGTCACCTGGACTGGCCCCCCAGTCCACCTTTGTCCCCACACGGTGTCCCAGGGGCCAGCCCCTCCCACACCTGCCCCCGTCCTGTGCCAGCCGAGGAGGGTCGTGAATCCGAGTGCAGGAAGAAAGAGTCCAGGCTTCTGTAGGCGCAGGCATGACTTTATTCAAGCATGGATGAGCCAGGCAGGGCCACCAGACAGCCGAGGCAAAGGGGTCAGGACACAGGCGCACCCCTCACCTCCATTAGCCACAGGCCAGACCTCCCCAAAGGCAAACCCTTTCCCCACAGAAAGGGCACTGCCAAGACCTTTCCCAGTGATGGGGTGCAGGGGAAAGGGGGCCTAGCACTACAGGGGTTCCACTGCGTTAGCCTCTGCGTCGAGGGAAGCAGGTTGTCCCCAGGCAGTCAAGGGTTTTGTCCCCAGAGCCTCCAGTCTGGGAACAGCTCCTTTGCCACACGCTACTCCACCTTAGCAGGCCAAGCTTCTCCCTCTCAGATGAAACCCCGGGCCAAGAGGTCATAAGTTAAGGGTGCCAACCCCGGGGTGGAGTGGTCTTGGAGACAGCCTCCTCCAGATCCTGGTGTCTAGGAGCTTGCTCTAGTCTTCCCCGGAGGACCAGGAGTCTCCATCGCCACCCCTCGGAGCGAACTTCAGGAACTGGCTTGGGCCCAGGTGCACAGGAGTCCCTGCCCAGGGGGTCTTCAGGGCAACCCCCTCCTCTTTCTGTGAGGGGGTCCCTCCCTCCCCATCAGGGGGTTCTGGGGTTCTGTGCCCCCCTCCCTTGGACTGCTCCAGCCCATTCACCACCCTCCCACTTGTGTGCTCGGACTCCTCCAAGTTGGGGCCCCCATTGACACTGTGGGTGCCTCCCAGGCCTGTATCCTCCAACCCACCGGGGGTCTCCAAAGGACCAAGGACTTGGTCCTCCTTCTCCCAGGGAGCAGAGTCAGACTCCTCTGAGCCAGAAGGCTCAGCACTGTCCTGGGACTCGGTCTCCAGGGCAGTCACAGGGGGATCGGCCATAGCACCCTGCAAGCCATCGTCCCAGGGGACACTGATGCCCAGGGCTTCAGGTGCCAGGTGGTCCTCTCTCTGAGAGCTACTCAAGGCCTGCAGGCCTCCCACAGTGGACCCTGACCCCCACCTCGGAGACCCTGGCTCCCGCCCCTCCTCCTCCTCCTCCGCCTCCTCCCCACTCTCTTCATCCGCAAACCCATCAGACTCCCCATCCCGATCCCAGACTGCAGGCTCCAGCAGCTGGGCCACCTGGCCCAGAGGTTCTGCTGCCTTCCTGGGGACCCCAGGAAGAAAAGAAGCCTCTGTCTGCAGGTCCTCGAATTCGTCTGATAGCTCAGAGTCCTGGCCACGATCCTCCTCCCCATTCTCCTCTTTCTCCTCCTCCTCTGAGTGTGGGCCCGGGACAGGGACAGCAGGATCCCAGCCCTCCTTCCTGGCCTCTCCCTGAGGGGAGGGCCTCTGCTCTCCCACCACGTCCCACCCAGGGGATGAGGGGGACCTGAGGTACAGGCCCAGGGGAGTGGAGTCAGGAAGGGTTTCCCCAAGCTCATCTGCCTCACTCTCTGCTCTGCTCTCCTCCTCCTCCTCCTCTTCCTCCTGGAGGTCCTCGGGAATCTCCTCGGGACCAAACTCCTCCTGCTCACCCTCCACCTTTCTCAGGGCTTCAGTCCTCTCTTGGAGCCCCCTGACAGCCTCCTGGCCCCCCTCATTCTGGAGCCCAGGGAAATCTTCCAGGATTGGGGTGGGTGTCTGGGGCTGAGTGGGCCCCAGCACCGGTTGTGTATCCTGAGCATCCTCTGACCCCGAGGGTGTGGGCTGTGGGGCATCAGTGGGGGACACATCCTCCGCTCCCACAGGGGCCTCAGGCTCCGACTCCTCCCAGCCCTTGGGAGGCTCCCCAAGGTCCCTGCTTCTGCTGGGCAGGTTGGGGAGTGTTGCACCCATGTGGTCCTGCCCGGGCCCTTCCAAGCCCTCAGCACTCTCGGCCTCCAGACTGTCCTCTCCTGAGGGTGGCTGCACAGCCTCCTCCAGGGCAGGGTGTGCCAGGTCCTCCTGGTCCTCCAGCCCTCCTACCTCCTGCTCCAGTCCCAGCTCAGCTCCTGCAGCTCCTGCAGCAGACCCTCCCTTGACTGTCTCTGCCCCCCAGGTGACCTCTAGTGAGGCTTGGTCACCCCATGGGCCCTCATGCTCATCTTCCCGCTGGGGTTCTGGCACCTCTGCCATTTCCTGGGAAGCTTCGAGGCCTGGGGTCCCCACCTGCTCTGGTGGCCCTTCTAGGTCCTGGGGGCCCTCAACTCCTTCCCGCCCACTGGCTCCCTCAGCTGGGACCCTCTGCTCTTCGGGCTCAGCGCTCCCTGTGCTCCAGGCCTCTGCTGCTGAATTCCCATCCTGCTTCCTCAGGCCCAGCTCGGCCTCACCTTCATCACCCACTCCCTCCCCGCTAGATGGGGCTTCCTGACCCAGATCTTGGTCTCCCACGGCTACAGCCTCACACCTCTCCTGATTCTCAGACAGAGGCAGCTCCTGTGCTTCTTCTTCTAGAGACCTCAGTAACTCTTGTTTCTCTCCATTCAACAGGCTCCCTTCCTTTTCTAGATCTTTGTGACCTTCCTTCCCTGCCCCCTCTGGAGACCTCAAGTTCTCAGGGTTCCACTCGCCCAGAGGTCTCAGCGTTTCTTGATTCTCCTTTTCTTGGGGACTTGGTGTCTCTTGGTTCTCTTCCACAGACCCCTGTGTTTCTTGAATTTCCTTTTCCAAAGGTTTCGCTGTCTCTCTGTTCCTTTCTTCTAGAGACCACAGTGATTCTTGAGCTTCTAGAGATGTTGGCATTTCCAGGTCCTCTTCTGCAGACGTCAGTGGCTCTAGGTTCTGTGTGTCTGAAGATCTCACTGCCTCTGTACGCTCCCCTTCCAGAGATCTGAATAACTCCTGATGCTCTTTTTCAGAAGATCCAACTACCTCCTGTTCATTTCCAAGAGATTCCAGTGGTTCTGGATTCACCTTTTCTAGCAGCCCCAATGTCACTTGGCCTTCTCCCCCTAGAGCCCTCAGTGACTGCTGAGTCTCTTTTTCAAGAGTTTTCAATGTCTCTTGATCTTCTTCTAGAGACCTCAGTAGCTCCTGATTCTCTTTTTCTAGAGGGCTCATGGTCTTTTGATCCTCTTCTTCCAGAGACTCCAATGGCTCCTGGTTCTCTTTTTCTGGAGGCCTCACATTCTTCTGGTCCTCTTCTTCCTGAGTCCACAGTGGCCCCTGATCCTCTTTGTCTAGAGGTCTCAAGGTCTCCTGATCTTCTAGAGACCCCAGTGGTTCCTGGTTCTCTTTTTCCAGAGGTCTCACAGTCTTCTCCTCTTCCTCTTCTAGAGACCTCAGGGACTCCTGGTTCTCTTTTTCTAGAGGTCTCACATTCCCTTGGTCTGCTACTTCTAGAGACCTTACAGACTCCTGATCATCTTTTTCTAGAGTTTTCACAAATTCCTCTTCTTCTTCCTCTAGAGACTTCAGTAATTCCTGCTTCTCTTTTTCTAAAGGTCTCACAGTCTTCTCATTCTCTTCTACAGAGGTCAGTGGCTCCTGATTATCTTTAAAGGTCTCCTGGCTCTCATCTTCAAGAGACTTCAAGGACTCCTGATTCTCTTCTGGTAGAAATTTCTGTATCTCCTGGTCCTCTGCTTCTTGAGAACTCAGTGGCTTTTGGGTCTCCTTTTTAAGAGTGCTCAATGACTCTTCTAAATTCTCCTCTTCTAGAGATCTCACTAGTTCTTGATTTTCCTTTTCTGGAAGTACAACAGTCTCTAGATTACCTTCACGAGATAACATTAGTCCTTGGTTCTCCGTTTCCAAAGACTGAAATGTCTGGGAGTCCTCTCCTCCTACAGACTTGGGTAATTCAGTGACTTCCTTTTCTAGAAGTCTCTCTGCTTCCATATCTTTTTCTTCTAAGGACCTCAATCCTTCTTGATTTTCTTTTTCTAGACTTTTTAGTGTTTCTAGGTTCTCTTCCTCTAAAGACTTCAGAGATTCCCGATCTTCTCTCTCTCTGGCCTCGTGGCTCTGGTTCTCCAGCAGCATCAGTGGCTTTGGAGTCTCTCCCACAGCCTTCAGGGTTTCTTTTTCCAGAGGACCCTGGGAGTCCTCGGCTTCCTTCACGTCCAGGTCCCCTCCTTCTTGCCATGTTTGCTGCTGCAAGCTGCTCACTATTTGGACCTCTACTGCTACTTCTTTCTCTACCAGTCCCTGGCTCTGCCCTTTACCTTCCTCCTGGAATACACTAGATGCTCCAGACCCACTGGGTTCTCTGTCTTTTGCCTCTAAACTGGGCTCGTCAGGGCTGAGGGGTGGGGCCAGGGAGGCCTGGTCCTCAGGGGACTGACCTGGACTGGCCTCTTGCTGCTTGCCACCAGGTTCCTCTGGTCCTGGAAGGATGCTGGCAGTGATTGCTGCCTGAGCTTCATCCCACAGTGGCTCTGGAGCCTGTTGCCTCCCACCCTGTTGTGGGAGCAGGGAACAAGGGCCATCCTGGGCTCTGGCCTCTGCATTTGCAGCAGGGCAGGGAGCCTGAGGTGTGGGTGGGATAGGGGTGCTGGCTAAGGTAGGGGTACGGGCCTGGAGGAACTCCTGGCTCTTCAGAAAGGCTGGCACAGGTGTCTGGAGGGTGTTAGGCAAGGGGGAGGGGAGAGAAGTCGGACTGAGGACAACAGGTCCCAGACGCTGGCCCTCTGGGGTCCCAGGGAAATACAGCTCCGGCTTGGGGTCTGGAAAGGCAGAGGGGGAGGAGACAATGTCAGTGGGCGCTGGCCCAGGTGGGGTGGGGGACCAAGCAGCACTCACTTCTAGCCAGAGTGTCCAAAGGTGCTGCTCTGGTTCCCCACAGCTCAGGCTGAGAGCATGCTCAGTGCTATTAGAGGCCATGGCTTTAAGACTGGTGCCTCTCAGGAAAGGTCTGTCTGGGGTAAGAAGAACAAAGAAGAGGAGAGTTTCAGGGGCACTTGGCCCTTTCTCTTACCCTGGAAGCTGAGAGAAGCCTTGAAACTGCTACCAGGTGTCTGCAGCCGGGAGTTTTCCGCCTCTAGAAGAGTCCTGGTGAGGAGGGAGGACAGCTGGGTCAGCCTTCTGCCCAGGGCCAGCAGGGCGAGCGCAGTGCCTCACCGCACATCCTGGCTCGGCAGGCTCCCTCTGCACTTTTACCGCAATTACACAAAGCCACGTTGGAGCCGAAGTCACAGTCGCATACCCACAGACATCACACACAGTCACATGCACATTTGGGACCTCACAGACACACTGCAGTTCCCACGCAGTCAGACGCAGTGCCATCCGCACACCCACACAGGCTCAGGCTGGTCTCCTCCCCCACCCAGGCCAATGACCTCATCCCCGGGTGGGGGGCTGATTCTCATGCTAATCACTGCCTTTGTCCATGCAGCCATCTGGAGGGTCTGAGAAGGGGGGCTTCTCAGGGAAGTGGGAATTCTCAGCCTGTTCCCATGGGATGGGCCCCCTCCACTTCCCCCCAGGGCCCCCAGAGCTGGTGACAGACAAAAGCGAATGAATTCAGCCCCTTCTCTCCAAATCCTTCTCATGCCACACAGCCCAGTGGTGACTCCTCCGGACCTGTTCAGGGCCGCCTCTCCTCCCTCCATGGTTTGACTGGGGTCACCACCCTGTCTTGGAGGCCAACAAGGCATGGAGGGCTTTGTTTCTGCTCCCCCCTTTTTCCGTAGGAGTCTTAGGGAGGGGCTGTCTCCTAATAGCAGGTCCTGCCACAGCCTCCCTCTCATAGCGGGGTGTACTCGGCCCCTGGAGGTGCAAAGCCCCTTCCTTGGGCTCCGTTGCTGGACATGCAGCCCACTGGACCAGTGTCCCAGAAGAGAGAGGACTTTGCTGAGGCCACAGAGCCAGTGAGCAGCAGCGGGAAAGGCAGTCAGTGAGCTGGCACAGCCAAAAAAGCGCTAAGTCTGGAAAGGAGTCCGGCCCCGGATGTCAGGTTAGAAAAAGCTGTGGAAGTCATAAAGCCCAACTCTTCCCCTGTGGCCAGGCCAAGTGGCAAGTCAGTGTGACCACCCAGACCTGCGAGGTTGCCCAGCCTCAAAGACTGCCCCCATCATCACCCCTGCTATGTGCGCACACAGACTGCAGGTTCTCAGTCCCTGGGGGAAGGGTCGGATGCAGACACCCTATATGTGATATTTGTGCACCCCCCTCCTAAGACTGTCCCACGCAGCAATGTCACAGCTCCTTGCAGGACTTCCTGGAAAAGGAACACTTACTTCTCTGGTCGTCAAGCCAAGGGAGAGCAGGTGGGGACAGATGAGATGTGTCCTTGCATGGAAGTGACCAGTTTAGAGTCACAAAACCCAGTGGTGGCAGAGCTGCGAACACCTGTGCCCCTGGGCCCCTTCAGCCACAGAGCTTCTGCTCCCAAATGTGTGTGTTCAAGTGAGTGTTCGATGGGTTATGTTCATGCCATACCTGTACGTGGCCACCTCCAGGCTGAGAGACATCTTGAGGTGTGCCAGCTGCTGCCGGCCCTCTAGGACTTGGGCGATCTGGCTCTGCAGGCCTTGCTTCTCCTGCTCCAGGGCCTCCACGGCCAGCTGCAGAGCAAGCCAAATGGTCAGTGGAGAGGGGCGGGCGCTCCTGGGCCTGGCAGTACCTCCTGCTCCTTACTGAGTTGTCTGTAGGACAGGATGGGCCCCTCTTCCCGGACCCCTCCCTGCCCAGGGAGCCTCTGCTGGGTGCCCGGATGAGAACAGGGGCCCCTCAGCCCTCTCCCACGCTGCCCTGCTGCTCCTTGGGATGCTGATTAAACAGTCGCACATGCTGCTGAGAATTCAGCTCCCACAGGAAGGGGGAGGCAAGGGAGGAGAGGAGATGGGTTACAGAAAGGAGAGGGAGAAAGTAGAAACAGAAGGAAAAACGATTAATCAAGAGCCAGGAAGCCAAACAGCCCTGTCCCCTCGTTGTCTCCTCACCCCAGTCACACACACCCCACACACAAGTTCTGGAATCTTCCTTTAAGGAGGGGTGTGGGGAGGGGCCTCAGCAAGACCTCTGTCTGGCCCTGTCAGGAAGCTATTTTCTCAGCTGTTGGGTCATATCTGCACAGTATGAAGGGGAACAGCTGTCCCAGGCCTCTGAAATATGCTCCAGGGAGTGGGAAACCATGACCTGGGACAGGGGCTGGGGGCCACTCATCTAGGGCCCTGGCTCCCCCAGACAGCTGGTAGGGACTTGGGGATTCGAGTGGCCAAGTGCTGGCCAGTTCTGAGTGACAGCAGCCTAGGGAGGGCCTGGACCTTCACAGGACAGGCAGGTGCACGGAGTGGGAGTACACCAGGGGCTGTGCACGCAGGGCTGGGACCCCATCTTGCCCACCCGCCCTGGACCAGGTGTGAAAGTCCAGGGCTTAGGGTGGGAGTTCTGAGCAGTGGCTCCTCAGTGGCAAGTCTTTTCCTAGAAAGTCTCCCGGTGCCCGGTCGCATCCAGGTCTGCCATGTCCTCACCTGGAACTTTTCGGTGGCCCGTAGCCGCTCCTGCCAGCGGTCCTCCAACCTCTGCTCCAACGCCACTCTGCGCTCCTGGAGGCCGCCGCGCTCGGAGCGGAGCTGCTGCAGCTCCAGGCGGCCTTCCCGGGCGCCCTGCATTGCACGTCCCAACCTCTCTCGGGCCTGGCCCAGCGACGTCTCCAGGTGCGCCACGCGCTCCTGGTAGCCGCGCACTGCCCCACGCCACGCCTCGCCCAGCCGCCGGGCCAGCTCCTCCACCTCCGGGGCTGGGGTTGGGGGCCCTCGGGGTGGCGCGGGGCGGCGCGGGGCGCAGGCCGCCTGTGCGTGCAGACTGGCGCGCTCCTCCTCGTGTGCCGCGCGCAGCGCCTCCAGCTCGCGCTCCAGCTCGGCCGCCTGCGCGCTCAGCCAGTCCTGGGCGCGCTGCTCGGCCTCCACCGCGCGCCGGCTGCGCGCAGCCTCCTCGACCGAGCGCTCCCGGGCCGTCCGCAGCTGCTGGCACCGGCCAGCCACACCCTCCAGCTCGTCCGCCAGGCTGTCGCGCTGCACCTCGGCCGCATGCTTCTCCCGCCAGCGCTGGTCGACGAGGGCGCGCAGAGCCGCCAGCTCGCCGTCGGCGCCCGCCCTCCAGGAGTTGTCGCCGGACTGTGCCCGGAGGCCCCCGAGCTCCGCGCTCAGCTGCGCGTTCTGCTCCTCCAGCGCCTTGACTCGGGCCAGGTAGGCCTCCAGGCGCCGGTTGAGCTCCCACAGCTGGAAGGACTCCTCCCCCACGCAGCCGTCCATGCTGCTAGACGGATCACCAAGGGCGGACCGACGCCGGGCGCCAGGAGAAAGCGGAGGCGCTCAGAGCCTTGGGCTGTAGAGAAGAGACCTGCGGGACAATGACTGGGCGGAGCGGTCGAGCATCTGAGCCCGGGTCTGAGCGAGGCTATTCATACTCCCGCCGGCCGGGCGGCGAGGGGCGGGCCCAGGATTAACCCGTTAGAGCCTGGGAGGGGGGGCAGTTCCTTTACTGGGTCCCCGGTGCGCAGGCAAGCGGAACCAGGGAAGGGCCCAGAACCCGCTAAACCAAAGGTTCAGCCCGGTGTGGTGGCACACGCACGCCTGACCCCAACATTCAGGAGGGTGAGGCAGGAGGGTCACAAGTTGGAGCCGAGCCTGGGCAATTTAGGGAGACCCTGTCAAGGGGGTGGGGGGCTAGGAATGTAGTTCACTGTGAAGGCTCTGGATTCAATCCCTAATAGTGAAGAAAGAAAGAAAGAAAGAAAGAAAGAAAGAAAGAAAGAAAGAAAGAAAAAGAAAGAGAGAAAGGAAAGGAAAAGTTATAGAACTGGGCCTGTGTGCGTGGGGTTGAGATTCTCAACTACGTAAAATCATCTAAGCTTTAGTCTCCCCCACCTCCGTCCCCCTCCGCCTCCCCGCCCCAGATGGGAGTGAGGAAAGCCACGCGCACCACGCGCACTGTTGTAAATAGCGACTGCGCGGGCTGGAGGGGCAGCCCTGCAGGGACAGACACTGCCTGGAAGGTGGGAAGGACAAAGTAGTGCGGACTCAACACGTGTGCGCTCACCAGCGCCCGCAGCCTGGCCTTCCCCGGGACCGCGGAGAACACGGGAAGACAGCGCATCGTACCCCGTCTTCCCTCCACCCTTCCTGGCCTCCTCCCTGTGACAGGGAGGTCCTGTGCTCCCCAGGACGCACTCCCTGGCCAGGCTACAGCGCAGCGGTAGAGGCCCTGTTCACCTCGATGCTGGCCTGGGGCTCAACACCACCACCTCATCCCGCAAAAAACAAAACAGAACTTCTCCCAGGCCAGAGAAAGGCGCCACACCCATCCATGTGAGGAATTGGGGAAGAGGGCACCCCCTGGTGGCGTACAAATGGTTGAGAAGAGGGAAAACGCGTGAGGAGCGAAGCCAAGCCCTTTTCTTCAAGACAGGTCCCCATTTCCTTAGTTACTTGTTTTTTGTGTGTTTTGAGCCAAGGTCTCACTAAATTTCCCAGGTTAGGTTCGAACTTGCAGTCCTCCTGCCTCAACCTCTCAGCTTACAGGTGCATGCCTCCAACCACCAATTTTTTTCACCCCTCAGCATTAAGGATTGAACCCAGAACTTTCTCACACTGAGCTACATCCCCAGCCCTCTTTGAGACAGGATTTATCTAAGTCTCTAAACTTCCCAGCGTGGGTTTTAACTTGTGATCCTTCTGCCTTGGCCTCCCACAGTGCCGAGATTACAGGTGTGCACCACTATGTGCAGTGTTAAATCTTGTTCTAACATTTAACTTAGATTATCTGACTTAATCTTTAACATACCCATTTGCTCAGGAAGCAGAGAACTCACTGAGGATGGCAGTGGTTGGGAACTTTGTGGAGGGGGCAGGGCAATCCCTGAGTGCAGTGGGGAGGGACCCGTGGGGTCTGCGGTAGGTAAAGGAAAAGTGGAACAGGGAAAGAGATGGGAATGAGACAGAGGGGCCTTGGAGGAAGGAATTTCTGCTCATGTTAATGCAATTTTCCTCTACAAGTGTTTACTGAGCACCTACTATGTGTAGCACCGAGAGAGATCACAGGGACTCTGCCCCTGCCCTGAGACACCCATAGGGACATCACCCAGGGAAGACGGTTGGGTCTGTGTCAAACGCAGAGCAGGGACTCTGAGTTGCACTTTCTAGCCAAATGCCTTGGGACAATCACAGACCTTCTCTAGCGGAGCCTGGCTAACTGTTAGGTAAAGAAAGTCAGCACAACCCTGCGTGTGTGCCCTAAGCGTCAATCTCATGTGTCAGGAATTTGTAGGTCTTTGGGCCTGTTCTGAGGCCCGCCACAAGGAGAGACCTGAAGCTGCAGAACTGAGTCCTGCTGCCGCTGATGCCCATGCTTGCTGGGGTCGAGGTACGTAAGCCTCTTTGAAGCTCGAAGGAAAGTGTGGCTCTTCCACGTGTGCCAGTGGGGTGCTGTGGACACCAGGTGGACCAAGACCACCTCTCCTCCTCAGCCATGGCATAGTTTGCTGGGATTCTTGTGAGGCCTTTGGCTGCCCCTTGTGTCCTGTCCTTGGGTGCAGGACATCTGGGCTCTGTGACTCTGCAGAGATGGCTGTGAGTGAGCTGAGGGCTCCCGGCACTGCCCTGAGGCCATTCTGCCCTTGGCCCTGATATTAAAGCCTTAATGAAATGCAGAAGCCATGTTTATCAAATCCGCAGATTATGCAAAAACTGAGAGTTAGATTTTGTTTGTTTTTTTGTTTTTTTTCGGGTACCCGGAATTAGAGAGTTAGATTTTGACAGACTAGGAAAAAATGAACCAAATGACATTTAATAGGGATAAATGGAAAATTCTGCTTTTGCTTTATTTTATTTTTAGTGTTTTTTTTTTTTTTTGTGACAGGGTCTCACTGTGTAGTGCAGGCTGGCCTTGAACTCACTATGTAGTCCAGTGTAGTCCTGAACTCATGGCACTCCTCCTACCTCAGCCCCCTGAGTGCTGGGATTATAGATGTGCACCACCATGAGTGGCTAAAATTCTGCTTTTTGTTTCAACAAATCAACAGTGTAAGAAGTGGGGAGTACAGACCAACTAGTAGTGAGCTCTTCTAATGAAGAAGAGCTGAGAATACAAGCAGATTGCAAGTTTGTTAGGCGCCGACCCAGTGAAGTAGCTAAAGAAGTAGAAAGGATGAGTGATTAACATATACAGGGCATCCACATAAGAGACAGTGATGTCCCCATTGGCCTCCACTGGAGTATTGCTCTGGACACTGTATCTGTTGG